ATGTTGATGATATGCTCATTATAGGTAGTAACGATGAAATGATCAAAACTACCAAGAAGTTGTTAAACTCTAAGTTTGACATGAAGGATATGGGCATTGCAGATGTTATTCTGGGAATTAAGATTACCAGAATCTCTGGCGGAATTGTACTATCTCAGTCTCATTATGTTGATAAGATACTTGAGAAGTTTAGTGGATCAGATACGAGTGTGTCATCGACACCTGTAGACTTAAGTCTACATTTTACCAAGAATAATAAAGAAAGTGTCTCTTAGTTAGAATATTCTCGGGTAATTGGAAGTTTAATGTATCTGATGAGTTGTACTCGGCCAGATATAGCTTATTCAGTTGGCAGGCTTAGTAGATACACAAGTAATCCCGATGCTTCTCATAGGAAGGGCATTGTGCGGGTGTTAAGGTGTTTACGCTACACTCGGGATTATGGACTGCATTATACTCGATATCCAGCGGTGTTTGAAGGCTATAGTGATGCAAATTAGATATCAGACATAAAGGACTCAAAGTCCACTAGTGGATATGTGTTCACTCTTGGTGGGGCAACCGTGTCTTGGAAATCTTTCAAGCAAACGTGTATATCTAGATCAACGATGGAATTAGAGTTCATTGCTTTAGATAAAGCAACAGAAGAAGCTGAATGGCTACATCATTTCTTTGAAGATATTCCACGTTGGTCTAAACCTGTGCCAGCTATTTGTATTCATTGTGATTGTTAATCTGCAATTGGTAGGGCACAGAGTAATATGTATAATGGAAAGTCTAGACATATCCGTCGTAGACATAATTCCATACGACAACTACTCTCGAATGGTAGTCGAAACGTCGTCAAGAGGAATGTGATTGAGGCCTTTGGAAGTTACCGGAATGGAAACCCAACCTAGTTGACTGGAGATCCCAAGATTTAGGTTCAATGGGACAACCTAATTGCGTGTAACGGTGGTATGTCACTGAGGAGGTTAAACCTCCAGCCATTCCTTCTATCAGTGATACCTGCAAGTGTAGAGGTTAAGCTAAGCTTTTAATGACTCTAGTGTGTTAAGCTGTTGAGTAGAGTATAGTAGGATACTCAAGTAGAGTCACCTATGTGAGTTTGAAATGGGGCCGCTTCTAGAAGAATTGGGCAGGCCAAGATTCTTTGAAACCACTCGCTGAACCAGGCTAGTGCCCAGGGCCACACAGGGCACATCAGTGAGAACAGAATGGTGGTAGGAGTAATTCCCATGTGAGATCTATTGTCTCAGTTTATATAAACGGCAGAGCAGTTCAGGATGTCTTATTCACTGATCAGCTAGTAAACTCGATAGGTTTTCATTGGGAGAGGTTCAAAGCCAAAAGCTACCTTCTTTGATATCGGGGCTAGTTCGTTGCACTCTCTCTTCGAGTCATTATTGTTGATCGATGTCCGTTTGTTGAGTCTTTTGGTCAATTTTTATTCATGTTGGGGATTGTTGGAAAAAATGGTTTTTTGGTGACTTTAATTAAATATTAAAGTGGGTCCCAACCATCTATTGTGTTGGGTCCAAGTGGGTCTAGATACTTTGCAATGAGATCTTTACACCACAAATAGTATAGCCAGAACCATTGGAAATTGAATGAGAAATTGCCCCATGAAGTTAGCTTCATGAAAGAGTTAACGGGGTTTGTAACTTCTGCCTTTATTGCAGAGTTTAATAGTGCATTAATGGGGTTTGTAACTCATGCATTTATTGCAGAGTTTAATAGTGCATTAATGGGGTTTGTAACTCCTGCCTTTGTTGCAGAGGTTAATGGTGCATTAGTGACCAGCCATAAAGGCTGGAGGCTTCTCATCTCTCCCCTATACATGTATAAATTGAGACCCTCCTATCAAGTCTCCAACACAGAAATTGCTTCTTCCATTCTTTAGTCAGTTTGCCAGAAAGTTCCTATTGTGAGAGAGTGCTGCCACTGTTTTTGTTCGCTAAGCTAGACAGAGAGTGCTTCTGCCGTAGCTGGTTTTTGACCGTCGCATCTTGGGAGACAGACACCGGGATTCCTCAAGCACTCGACCCGTGAGGCGGCGAAATCTGTTTTAAGGAAACTGCTACCGTGCAGGCTTCGGTTTGGTTTCTTTATCATTTTATTGTTTTGTGTATTTCTGTTGAAAGTTAGCTGTAATTATCAGTATATGTTTTTGGTATATAATTTTGATTTCTTCATAAATCTATTTAATTAATTTCACAATTTGAACAACAAGAGAATCTCCATCCAAAACCAAAAACATAGCCCCAAACAAAATGACAACAAAATAACGGAGGCAAAATCAAGATATATGATCAGATCCACATGAAGCATAAAATTCAAATTTGGGGCAACTTAAAACAAACATAAAACATGAAATTGAATTTCTTTTCGGGCATTTCTTAGCAGCAAAACCAAAGAGAGGGAGACGAAGAAATGTGAGTGGATTAAGCTTATTTCGAGAGATTCCAATTTGGATTAAGGATACTCTTGAGCTGAATTTTAGTCTTAGGAACGAAAATTAAACAAATGTGAAAACATGAACTTAATTTTCGTTTTTATTTTCCCTTTAATTTCTTAAGCATATTTTGGGAAATTCATGTCTGACCTTGTATTCGAAAGGACCTATATTGCCATGAATCTGATTTCAGAAGAAGAACCCTTCTTTCTAAACCATACGATTCTCAGTTCACAATAAGATTTTAAAGCTTGCATTACCAAATGGTTGAGGCGTGCTATGTACTAAGAAAGTAAATGATTTATCCCTTTACCCACACACACACACACACACACAAAAACAGTTCAAACAAATAACAGATGTTATGAGGCACCTTCGAAAAAGCATTCATTACTTACTTGATGATGCAAATTTAAGAGCTAAGATAATCAATTGCACAGAAAATTTCGGGTGGCAGTTGATGAGTGCCTTGTGGAGTTATCACTCAAGGTATCATTATCTCTTAATATTCCTTAACACACCTGCAATGTTGTGGACTAGTAGTTCTTTGGATCTCGAGCTGGAAATACTTGTGATGCTATATTTTGGTTTATAATTTGTATTTGAATTTTTAAATGCTTCACTTGTTCTTAGTGTCCCAAACTTTTAAAACAATTTTGTAAATGTATTTTGAGAGATTTGATATTGAATTGTCATTGACAAACAGGTTGGAGAAGCAAGCCCAATTCTTGACACCATGGCTATGATGTTTGAGAACATCTCAAATATTACAGTTATAGCCAGAACTACTATTGTTGCCATTTTTCGTACTGCTCAAATCGTAGCCTCTATACTAAATTTGTCATATTAAAACAGGGCAAGGAAGTTAATTTTTTTTAATGATTCTATTACTTTCTCTTGTTATTTCAATCCTTTATCCAACCTTGCATCTGAGTTTATCTTTTTCCTCTCAGGCATATCCCGAGGCTTTATTTCATCAGTTACTCCCAGCTATTGTCCATCCAGATCATGAAACTCGAATTGGAGCTCACCGTTTTCTGTTGTTCTTGTGCCATCTTCGGTTTGCCCTCAAGCAAGTTTAGCTAGTCCTGAGTCAAAGAGTGCTGCAGATCTTGCAAGAACTCTCTCAAGAACTGTTTGTCTTTTCTTCTTCAGCTGCCTTGTTTGGGAAGATGGGAAATGAAAGGTCTTCCGCAAAGGGAAATATTAGTTTCGATAACAAAGAAAAACTAGTTACTGAAGGACAACGAACAAACAACAACAGTGGGATGCTGAACAGAATCAAGTCAAATTATAGTTGAGTCTATAGCATCAAAAGTGTATCAGTACTTCCAACAGTAGATGAAAATTCTATCAACAATTTTAATAAGGATTTGGTAGGTTTTGGCATTTTCATTCCATTTAGAAACTCTTATTTATTAAATAGCTTAATATATATTGTTAGGCCCATTTCTTAACAACCTAAACTTTTGGCATAATTAATAACTTAAAATGGTATCAGTTTAAGATCTGACTTTAGCCCTTAATTGAGACTCCTTATAGGTATACTCTTATCCATTATTGAATATACTCATTCTTAACTCAGTTTCTTCTAGTTTTGTCTAGGGCTGCAAACGAACCAAGCCGAGCCGAGCTTTGCTGAGCTCAAGCTCGGCTCGTTTACTTATCGACCTCCAGCTCAGCTGGGCTCGTTAATTTTAATGAAACTCGAGTTCGGCTTGACTCGGCTTGATAAATTTTTTTAATATTATTTATATTATTTAATATATAAAAAATGTATTTATATTATTATTTATATATATATATATATATTTATATATTTTTAATATATGAATAATATATTTATTATATAATTTAAATAAAGATAAACGAGCCGAGCATATGCGAGCTCGAGTTCGATTCGTTTACTAAACGAGCCTAATATTCGAACTTGAACTCAACTCATTTACTAAACGAGCTGAGCAGAGCCGAGCCCTTAACGAGTTGAGCTTGTTCATGAACAACTCGGTTCATTTGTAACCCTAATTTTGTCACACATCCACCTTAATATCCTCATCTCAGTAACACTCATTTTATCTAATGTTGTTTATTAATTACCTAACATTCTCATTCATACAATATCATTGATTTAATAGCCGTTTTATAGAATTTCCTAAATTTAAAAGGTAAGTGTTAGTATTGGAACATTGTTTTGTATGGGAATTAGAGTGAAAGTATTTTAAAAATATGTGAAAAAGTAAAAAATGTGTTTTGCAGTCAATGAAAAATATTTTGATTTCAATAGAAATCTCTCATATTCTTTATGTTTTCTGTTTTTAAAATAAAATCTTTTTCTTCAATCCCAGGTAGTAAGATTAAAGTCAGTGGTATAAACTTAAATTTGTTGACGTTCAAAATGAATTTGATGGGTGGGTACGTTCAAAATTTAATTACAAAATTATGAAAAATTTATAATTTTACGTTTTTTAGATTTATAAAAGGGTAAATTACAAATACACGAGATTTGATTAAATTTATAATTCTACCCTAAATTCTTACATGCATATCATCGATCATCGATCCAACAACACACCACCCCTCTCCTCTCCCTCCGTGGCAGCCTATACGGTGTTTTGTACACACAGAGAAACAGAAAACAGCAAACCCAAGAAACACAATGTCGTCGTCGTCGTCATCATCATCATCTATGTCTTTCAAGAACCTTTCTTTCTTTCTCTTCTCTCTCCTCCTCCTCACCACCTCTCACTCATTTCCCCTCAACACCACTACCACATTCCCAAACCCTCAAGAAACGACGCCATCAGGTACCGGAGGAGGAGAATGGGTTCGGCTGCACGACAGCATAGGCGTCTCTGCCATGCACATGCAGCTCATGTACGACAACAAGGTCGTCATCTTCGACCGCACCGACTTCGGACTCTCCAACCTCTCTCTTCCCTCCGGCAAGTGTCGCTACAACGACGCCGTTTTAAAACTCGATTGCTCCGCCCATTCCCTCCTCTACGACGTCGCTTCCAACACCTTCCGCCCCCTCATGGTCCTCACCAACATCTGGTGCTCCTCCGGCTCCGTCCGTCCCGACGGAACCCTAGTCCAAACCGGCGGCTACCTCGCCGGCGACAAGAAAATCCGCCTCTTTACTCCCTGCTCCACCACCACCGACGCCGCCGCCGAACAGTGCGATTGGTTTGAATTGCCTCAACAACTCCTCGTCCGCCGCTGGTACTCCTCCAACCACATTCTCCCCGACGGCCGCCTCATCGTCGTAGGTGGCCGCAGACAATTCAACTACGAGTTCTTTCCCAAGAACTCCATCAATGGCTCCTTACCAGAGCTCTTTAATCTCCCCTTCTTGCACAACACAACCGACCGGTTCGAAGAAAACAATCTCTACCCATTTCTTCATCTTCTACCTGATGGTAATCTTTTCATTTTCGCCAATCGGAGATCGATATCGTTCGATTACGTTAACAATCGGGTTGTTAAAGAGTTTCCCGAAATACCCGGAGAGAAACGGAACTATCCGTCAACGGGTAGTTCCGTTCTTCTTCCTCTCCGGGGAAATTCACCGGCGCCGGAGGTCATGATATGCGGCGGTGCACCGGCCTTTGGGTTCTACCAGGCTGAAAAACTTAGTGTGTACGTGGCGGCTTCTAAGACTTGTGGGAGGTTAAAGGTTACAGACCCCGAACCTCAATGGTTGATGGAAAATATGCCAATGAGTCGGGTCATGTCGGACATGATACTGTTACCTAGCGGTGACGTGCTTATTATTAACGGCGCGTCGAATGGGACGGCCGGGTGGGAGGACGCGGTCGGGCCGGTTCTCAACCCGGTTCTTTACTCCCCTACCCAACCCGATCCGAGTAAGAGATTCACTGTGCTCAGCCCTACCACAATTCCGAGAATGTACCACTCTGCTGCTATATTGTTGCCAGATGGCAGAATCTTAGTGGGGGGTAGTAATCCCCACGTACAGTACAACTTCACAGCAATGCCTTACCCAACTGAATTGAGCTTGGAAGCTTTTTTGCCACCTTACATGGCCAAAGAGTACTCTAATCTCCGCCCTTCGATCTTAACGGTGGAGGCTAGAGATAAGGTTGTATCGTACGGTCAGGGATTCGCTATCACGTTCATGGTGGCAACCTACCGTCTATATCAAGATTTTAAAGTGGCTGTGATTGCACCGCCGTTTGCCACGCACTCTTTCGGAATGAATCAACGGCTGATATATTTGGATATAATTGGTGGGGCCCAAAAACTGTCGATGTTTGGGTATAAGGTTAGTGTGGTTGCGCCTGTAACACAAAATATTGCACCGCCGGGGTATTATATGCTGTTTGTGGTTCACAATGGGATACCTGGAGAATGTGTTTGGATCCAGATTAATAATTGACAATCAAAACTACTTCTTGATTTTTCAGTTTTTACGGTAATCTTTTTTTAGTGAGATAGGAATAGATGTTAGCAAATGTAATTTTTTTTTTTTTTAAAAAAAGAAAAACTTCATTTCAAAATTTTTCCTTTCCTCAAAATGATTTTGATGTAATTAATTTAGAATTTAATGATAAGAAAAGTCTTTTTGTGTTATTTTTATTTTCTTTTCTTACTGTAAAAATTCTATTTACGTGCCATGTTTTTTCATTAAATTGAAGTTCTGAAAAAGAAAATGAGTATCGATTGCCATTCATGGAGATGCGGGGTATCGATCCCCGTACCTCTCGCATGCTAAGCGAGCGCTCTACCATCTGAGCTACATCCCCAATGAGCATATTTGGTAAATTTACAGTAATATCGGCGAATAATTTATTTAGGTTCTTTCTTGTCCTGTCTTTTACTTCTGAGAGTAAAAATGACGTATAAATTGACATTGAACATGGTTACATATTTGACTCTGATTACCTCTTCTGCTGGAGCGAGGAGCTTAAGTTTATTTATTTTGTATTCAATAACTTCCATTCCAACTTAGACTGAGTTAATTGAAAATCAATTTGAGAGAACTAAATTTTACAGTCTGTGCTCTACCTATCTGATCAACCCATTAGTTCTGCTAGCTCAAGGTTGACAAAAAAACAAAAAGATAGTAGTTTCTTTGGAATAGAAAGCATTTTGGATCTTTGAGCATAAACCATTTGATACCCCATTCTTCTATTAACAGAGAATTATTCAAAGTATCCAAACATGGTGCTATCATCTCTTGTTGACAGGTAATGAAGAACACGAAAAAAAGAAAAAAGAAAAGAAAAGGGCTGTCTAGCAGTCTCATTTATGATTGGCTAATTGAGACGGGAAAGTTTACTTCGATCTAACATTGATCTTCAACTGCTATAATTTCAATTTCACTTGTTTGCCCTTTTTGATCTGTACTTGTATCGGTTAGCCCAGAAAAGGTAGTGCAAGAAATTCAAGCTACTTAGCACACACATTAGCCAGTAAAACCGGTCCAAATGATAGTGATTCAAGTTGCTACCGGAGAGCCATGGGTTGCAGTGCTTAGAGCTTCCCGTGATACCATTGACAATGGAGACAATCACAGTGCTGAGATAGTATCCCATAGCCAGAGACGCCCATGAGAGAGATGTTGCCAGAGACCTCATGCTTACAGGTGCCTCGGTGAAGAAAAATTCTAACAATCCAGCTAAGGTGAAAAGATCGGCCGAACCCAAAAACAAGTACTGAAAAGCAATCCAAAAGAATGAAATGGGTAATGGGTTGCGAGAATCAAGTAGGCCCAAGTCAAAAGCGACCCTTTTGCGTTTGATTTCAACTAGAGCCGCCACTGCCATGGCTACGATGGATAGCACTAGACCGACACCTATTCTTTGTAGATGAGTGATACCCATTTCAGATTTTGTCAATTTACGAGCAAATGGGATAATGAAATGGTCGTAGACCGGTGCAAGAATCATGATGAAGAGGATAGGGAAGATGGGAAGGGAAGCAGGTGGGACTTTTAAGGATCCAAGTTTTGTTTTCATGGTGGCGGCTTGTTGGACCGAAAAGGTGGAGAGTTGAGCTAGGCAGCAGTTGAGCATGATTGTGCAAGCGAATATTGGGAGAATTTTTAGCACAATCTTGACTTCTTCTACTTCTTGTAATGAACAGTCTAGTCCTCTGTGGACTGGCTTTTCCACCACTGCCCTGTTCAGGAATTTAAGGCTTTTTGTTGGGGTTTCAATGAGATCTATGGTTTTGGTGTTTGATTGCTCTTCTTCCTTGCTAATTGGGGTTGGAGGGGAAGGGCCTGTCCCCATGCTCGCGATTGCATTGCTAGAACTTCTGCTTAGGCAAGTGTCCAGAATGGCCGCTAACAGAACCTATCGAATTTCACACACACACACACACCCCCACAAAAACAAAAAAAGAAAAAGAAAAAGAAAAGAAAACTTGTCAGCTGTTTAATCAGGAGGATGAAGCTACAAACTTAAGACTGGTGAAATTTCAATGTGCAATATTTATCATGGTACCAATTGATGATTATAATCGAAATTTTTCACTCCACTGCCGAGAGCTGAATATGTAGGGTGTTTTGCCTCTTTGAATGATAATATTTGGCATAAATAGATGCGCTAAAAGGTCATTATGTGCCCTTCAATACTTGATGTGAGATTGACATAAGCATTTTTTCATCTGTTTTTTAGACAGAAGTTAAGGAAAGCAACTTGATTTGATCTAGAGGAGTCCTGTTACCTTGCATATTGTTGTGAGTGGACTTCCACAAGGTACCTTGTTCCTGTAAAAACAAGAACCAGCAAGAAAAATTGGAATGGACAACAATATTGCCAAAGTGGAAATACCAAAGCCCCATTGCCAGCCCTTGTTGTCCTCAATCCATACCACAAATGTCACAGCAATTAGACCTCCACATGAGAGGCAGAAGACGAAGTAGTTGAAGAAAGTCGACCTCTGCTTCCTTCCATGTGGGCTGCTTTCGTCGAACTGCTCAGCTCCATGTGCTGGTAGTGATCCTTTTATGCCTCCGACGCCTAGTGCCACAAGGTATAGGCCTATGAACAGCATTGCAGCTTTGCCACCGCTGACTTGCTGGCATGGGATGGTAGGGGTGTCAACACTGCATGCTGGTGGCTTTAGGGAAGGTGAGTGAGCTTGCACTGCTAGTATGATCAAGCCCTGTTTTCATGGAACAATCAATCAAAATTGGATATTAATGAATGCTCTAGTTAAATCTGATAGGAGAAATAATGCACATAAATCTGTTTTTCTTTGGGTCTGAGCTTATGCTTATCTAAATTAAAGCTAAATTTCAAACCAACCCATTAACCTAGTAGATTCAATTATTATTTATTTCTTTTTCTTCTTCTTTTCTTTCAGGTTACAATCTTGCATATAAGTTCGAGATGTACACCTCAATCATGAATTTTTTTGTACAAGAAATTTGTTTTTTTTTTGTTCGTCCAAGATTTTAGGATGTTAGTTAAGGCATCTCCAACAATATATCAAATATTTCATCAAATTTGAGTAAAAAATTTGAAGAATTCCCCTATCTAATATCCAGCTCTCCAACAGTGTATTTTTGGCTGTCAGCGAAATGCCGGTCAACCGAGAGGACAACGGGCAAGGGTAATCCGAAAAATCTGTTTCCCTTCATTTCTGGTCTTGGTCTTATGGTGACGATCTCTATAAACTCTGTAGACAGTCTTCAAGCTCTGGGGGGGGTGTACTACTTGATCTTTCTTACCAACACAAACCCATCTTCTTTTCTCTCTCTCTCTCTCTCTCTCTCTCCAACTATATACACATACATACATACTCTGTGTTTCTATCTGTCCTTGGATCGCTTTGTATTTTTATTTTCTTTGTTTCCTCACATTAGAAATCGCCTTTTGAGATTGTTCGAAAGCATAAGAAGAGCTCGGGACTGTTCATTCACTCTGGAAAAATAAACCCAACAACAATTGCTTTGCTTTTCTTCTTCAACTACTCCAAGATTCTCAATTTGAGCCAGACCCACTTTTGCAAAGAACGCTTTTGCTAGAGAAATTTGTGGATTATTTGTTTTGGGATCATAATGTTTTCTGGGTTGAATCGATTGTTGCTGATTTGTGGTGTCGGTTTTTTTTTTTGGTGCATAAGAAGAAGGGCTTGCATTAATTCTTGGATTTGATAAGCAAAATGCTCAGAGAGAAAAGTGATTCCCAGATTCACAAAGCATTTCAGAGGCTCTGCCACAATTATGGATGGTCCTATGGTGTTTTTTTGGCACTTTGAACATAGAATCTGCATGCAATGCATTTGCCCCTACTATACTTCCCTCAAATGTGTTGTGGGAATTTTTCAACTAACAGAATGACCAGGTGGACATACGACCGGACGTTCGGCCGGTAGTCCGATAGGTCTAATACTCAACGGCTATGCACAATAAAATGCTAAAAGGTGCCAGACATCCTCACTTTGGTGAAACGTATTTGATATTCTTAATTTGATATCTATTTAATGAAACTATTGGAGTAGAAAAAATGATACTTTGTACCAAATTTAAATTTTGTGATGAATTTGGTACACAGTTGGAGATAGCCTAAGTTAATAAAATTATATTACAACTAAAAGGGTCACCGCTACTCCATCAGCTCAAATCCCAGTGACGACCCCTGCCCTCCCATCACTACATTCTAAGATGTGACTATAAGACCACTAGACCAAACTCAAAGTCTTTTTTTGTACAAATTTAATACACAAAAAATACTTATATCAAACACAATATAAATTTATATTTCATAAAATAAAATAAAGAATAAAGATTGAGAGCTCTAGAGGAGCTCTAAATTCTAATGGGTGTGAGGCCCATATGTGCTATGATGTGATGTGCGTAATGTAAGTTTTTTTTTAAAAAAAAAAAAAAAAAAAAAACCTTTGCTATATCACTAAAACTACCTTTAAAGTTTAAAATTTAAAACTTTTTATAATTGTTGTAAAATAAGATTTTACAGTACCACGGATTTGAGATTTGTCCATACTAAAAATGTCAAAGAGGCAAACGTGTCAGCAAGTAGTAGACATGTTCATTCATTTAGGGTAAAAACTTGCACACACCTCAAAACATATGTGATTCCATTTCATTTAATATTCGTGCAAGTGGATGTAATATATATCCATACAAAGTAAAATATCAACACATTAAAGTTAAATTTCATATAAACAATAGAATTAATGGCATCATAAAAAAGATAGGTGATATCATGATTTTAAATAATAATATTATATAACATATCATGTTAATGATACAGTCAAATATCAAATTGTATTGAATAGCCACAGTTGATATATCGATAAATAATGATTATCAAAAGTATTAAATATCAATACGTATGGACGACATTTAAGAGAGAGGGATGGGAAAACAGTACCAGAAACTCAACGAGGGCACTTGAGAGGTAGATGTAGTAAGAAGTGAACAAAGCATCAGATAAGAAACCACCTAGGAGGGCAAGAAGGAAGGCAGTCCCCATGAAATTTGTGACAGAATTGGCTGATTTCGATGGAGAAAAATGCATGTATTCCGACATGTATCTCACCAAGTTGCTTGCATTTGCCAGAAATGCCAAGTTCTCTAGTACCTCCACAACTACAAGTCCAACATCATCAAAATAATCATTTTCACAATCATTAATCATACATGTATTTTTATTACAACATGCAAAGAGGATTATCAATATTTGCAGAGAATGAAGAAGGAGTTGACTTACCAAGAACAAAGGAGGCAGCGAGCATGCCGCCATGGCGCCCATTGAGTGCAGGCCTGTTCCTCCAATCCACATAGCCTTGCCATGTTTCCTGCAACATGAATTATATGTGTGTTTGTGTTTTTGTTTTTCAAAAAGAAAAAAAAAATGAAAACAAGAAGTTGAGAGTGAATAAAAGTAGACAAGGGATGAGGAAGAACCCACCATTTTTTTTCCCTTTTTCTCCTTTGCTTTCAAGTTGAGGAAGGTGAGATGTGGATTTCTGGAATTGGGAACACTTTTGGATAAGAAACAAGAGGGATATAAATATATATCAATGGTGGGTGATTAAAAAGAGTGAGAGAGAAAGAAGATCCAACCTCAAGAGAATGGTCTAGACCCCTGAGAAGATGACTTTAATTTTGAGCAAGGATCCTCTAGAGTGATTTTTTCCTAAAGTTTCTTAGAGTGCTACATTGTGTGGTTGAGATTTACTAATAAGTCACATCAATTTTTTTGATGTGATTTACCAGTAAATCTCAACCACACAATATAACACTCTAGAAAACTTTAGAAAAATTTCACTCTAGAGGATCTTGGTGTTTAATTTTAGTGCGCAAGATTTTTTCTGTTTTTTATTGTTTAAATTTCGGTAGTTATAGCATTTTGTTTTCTATTGTTTAAATTTCGGTAGTTATAGCATTTTGTTTGTTTGTTAGGCACTCACTGACTTCGAGGAGAGAGAAAGAGATGGATCGGGTTGCTTAGGTAGTTTTATTTTGTTTTTTATGTTTATGTTTTGGAGAAAATTAGTTGAACATTTTTTTTTTCTAACTTGTATAGTAGGAGAAATTGAAGATTTTCTTTATTAGTTAAGGTATTTTGATAAAAAAAATTTATGATCATATCAAAGAAATTTTAAATTTTTTCATGAAATTAGAAAAATTTCTCTGTATCAAGACCAAAATTTTTTTAAGTTAAGTTAAAATTTCTCTGAGTCGGATACAAATTTCTCTAAGTCGAATTTTGTATGTGAAAATGTTGAAAAACTCTAACTACTATAAAAATATTGTATACTTTTTATCTAATAAAATTTTAATATCAAGAATCTTAAAAAAAAGTCTCCTATGTTTGTTTGTTTTTTTTTTTTTAACACCTGGATTCTCTCAATTCCCATTTTTTTAAAAACAAAATCAACACAAATATTTTGAATTTAAATAATTATTTTCTAAACAATTTAAGATGAATTACCCTAATCGTCCATATAATTTGAGATTTGTATCACTGTAATTCCAAACTTTTCAATTAAACATTTGACTCTAAATTTTGAATCTTATTCCAAACAAAGATAATCAAAGATGTTTCTTTAATGGTCAATTTTAAAAGTAAAATCGTCATACAACTTATTTTGTGTTGGTTAACTTGTATGTTGTTTGAAATGTAATGGCTTTTTTTTTTAATGAATAATGTTGAAACTTTCTTGGTTATAAAGTTCTGTTTGGTACAATTTTCAAAATCTATTTTTAAATTTTTTTTCGAAGAAATTAAAAATTAAATTGGTGAAAAAAATTAAAAAAACACTATTTTATATAATTTTATCTTTTAGGAGAGTAGAAATACTTTTTTTAAAAGAAATGTTTTTGATATTTATTTTCATTAAATTAGTTTCTATTTTATCAAAAGTCAAATATTATGACAACTTTGATTTCATTATAAAACAAATCCATTAAATAAAAAAAATTAAAAATTATAAATATTTCATATATTAAACATATCAATTACACAATAAAAACCTAATAACCATCTATTACATAATAATCATCCAAAACAACAAATACAATCATCTATTACATGATAACCATCTAAAAATATCAACAAAAATAACACCCATTACATGATAATAATATAAAAACATACTAAAAATTTATTTTGTAAAAAAATAAAAATAAAAATATATAAAAGATTTATCATTTTTATATAATTTTAAATTTGATGAGTACAAATAATTTTTTGACATTTATTTTTGTCAAACTAATTTATATTTTATTAAATTTGACAATTTTGCTCTTGAAATGGAGTAACAGTATCTTTAATTATCCTTATTTGGAACGTGATTCAAAATTTAAGATCAAATGTATCATAATTGAAACGTTAGGGACCAAAGTGACATAAATCTCAAATTATAGGGACTGTTTGTGTGATTCGCCCAACAATTTATTTATTTGTTTATTTTAATCTAGTTTTAGCATGACATAAATGACTCAAAAGGTTCATATGCATGTTCCATTTAGTTATATTTTAAGAATTAATTTTTTTCAAATACGTAAACGTAGAAATTATTTTTACTATGCAAATTAAAGTAAGAACAAAATTTAGATTATATATTTGATTGAATTATAAATTTATTAAATCTTTATTACATGCAAAGATTAATAATTTTTTTCCCCTTATGGAGGTATTTATTTACTTCTTTATAGTGTTCTTTATTGTGTTGATAGTTTCACTTTTATCATGAGGTTCTTTGATATAGTGGTTATTGGAATTTATAATAATATGATTATGTTTGCTAATGCAAATAATCTCTATATTTGTAATTAATTGTTAAAAGAAATTATTCCTAAATATTGATTAGCTTACAACATATTTCAAACGTCAAATAATATTTTAATGACAACAATATTAACAATATAATGAGATTCCTTTACTTCGCTTTCAAATTAAAAATGAATGCTCCCAATTTATTTTAGTGAGATTTTTTTTAATATCTATAGTTATATCAAAAAAAAAAAAAAAAATCTTTTGCTTCAGTTACATATTAAAAATGAATGCTCCCCCACCCCATCCTCACCCTAAAAAATAAAAAAATAAAACAAAATAAAAAAAGGTCTTTTGCTTCGGTTACATATTAAAAATGATTGCTCCCCCACCCCCACCCTGACCCAAAAAATAAATAAAAATAAAAATGAATGCTCCTCCACCTCCACCCTCAAAAAAAATATAAATAAATAAATAAATAATTGCAATCACAAATGCAAAGAAAGGACTCGCATGTACACGTGTGTGTATATATCTATACTATTATAAAGTGAACACATAATATGGTGTCCTGAAGCTTCACTCTCCTCATGCCATGTGGCAGTATTTTTTATTTTTTTAAAAAAAAGTTAAACAAAGAGATGGGCAAGGCTTGAACCCATGACCATGGGTTTAAGTACCACGATTTATACCACTTAAGCTAAGTACACATTATAATATGAACTTTATTATTATTTTTTTTTATTTCTACTTATTTAAATTGCACACACATCGTGTGTGTGCCACCCACTAGTATATATATATATATACTAGTGGGTGGCACACACAATGTGTGTGAAATTTAAATAAGTAGGAATAAAAAAAAATAATAATGAAATTAATATTATAATGTATTCTTAACTTAAGTGGTATGAGTCCTCGTACTTAAAAAAATACTGCCACATGGCATGAGGAGAGTAAAGTTTCAGGACAGGTGTTCACTTTATAATAGTATAGATATCTTTGCATGAGAATGAAAAAAAGTTGATTTGATTTTTTTTTTTTTTTTAAATAGAGATATTTTATATCTTTAAAAACTATCAGATAAAAAAATGAAAATTTATCCATAAATCCCATATGAGGGATAGTTATTCCATTTAGTCCTAAGAGTTTTCTTATAGACCAATCAGTCCTTTTTTTTTTTTTTTTGAAAGTCATATTTGGATTTGGCGAAATTGGAGTTTACATAATTACCTTTTTTGATCCTTTTTAGTCGAATTATTTTGTAATGGGTATTGATTGTTTGGCATTGTTGAAGATTTTTTTTTTCCAATTAACTACAATGTTTGCCTCATGTTACCCAATATCACAAACCCAGATTTCGCAATTAACACTACACAGTCACACATTAACATTAGTAACAACATCCACATAAAAACTAGCACTGCTATGCCAAACAACCCCACCCACATCATACATCCTTTAGCATACACTCCAACCCCCATATCACTGTCACCTGATGTCGCCGTTATGCGACAATGCCATTCGTCAAAATTTTCCCATAAACACGAACCATATTGTCACATATATAACACATCACAGTAAGCTCCAGTTGGGTCTAACATTCTTGCATGGTATATTCACATTACGATATACGTTAACAACAATTTTCTACATGTCAAATGCAAACACAGGGCACATACAACCACTTACTGTGGGTGTTGATTTCTGACGATACAACCAAACGGGGAACTTAGCTAGAAAGTACTGGCAGAATAGATTGAGCCAACTACTTGGCAACAAGAAGATGAGAATACCGTGGTGGTTCGTCCACTTGGGAGCACTCCGACGATCAAGTTAGTCAATCTTATCTCTCACAGATATCAAAACAATACTTGAACTCACAAGTCAAAAACTTTCCTCAAACCCACGAAAGTGCCTCACTTTTATAACCAACAGTGACCTAATCCTCTAGAAGCCTCACCTCATTGGACTCAAGCTCAATGCTCATCTTGGACTCTTGGCTAGATAGGGATAAACCCCTCATGAGCCTTATCATTTTCCAGACTGAGAGCCTCTTCTATTCTAGGACTCTTGTCCCTTATCCGAATACCTCGGGATTCTAGCATTACTGCAGAACATCTCAACAATGCCGTGGTCACCTCGGTAACAAGACTCATCCACGTGGCACCTTAGCCGACATATCAGGGCTATCTTGGCCACGTAGCGTCATTCGTAAAATACTTCCCCACAACTGCCCCGTAGGTTCTATTATCTCGGCAACCTAAGGTGATGGAACCTATATCGTTCGATCATTCAATCATATCGGCCAAACAATGACACTATCCCGACTGAGATCAAAACTCGTCGGCTTCAAATAACCATAACTCGAATGCCCACCATATCAAGAATCAAGAACCGCATTCCTGGTGCACATGAGCTGTCACGTACCATCACTATTACCGTTTCTTCTACATGGCTCATTCCTATTGGCTCGTACTTGTCCCGCGCCATCAAATCACGTGGTTTTTGCCGCACCACCTGACAAGCACGTCATCCAAGGAAACATTATCAATTTTTTTCGCCCTTTCATTTTTTAACAAAATTTCTCTCCATCTCTCTGTCTCTTTACTTTGCAAGCACAATTCTCTCTCTTTCCAAATTTTCTCTCTCTCTCTCTCTCTCTCTCTCTCTCTCTCTCTCTCTCTTCACCATTGCCTCTGTTACGGAACCGTTTGTTCATCACCTCTTGCGAGCCTTTTGTCGTTTCATTCCAGTGATCGTCTCCGTCTGACTCTGGTGATCTTCATTTCGGCGTCCATTTCGTTGGCTCCATTCGGTAAGTTCTCAATTTCCTCACTCCACTTTTAGTTCCTTATTGTTCTTGCATATGACATTGTTGTGAACTGTTTGTAC